AAATGAAGCTGACATAGCTTCTAATTTTCTGCGATGATTACCGGCACAACTAGGCTGTTGGCGATACATGGTTGTACTGGGGTAGCTTTAACTGAAAGTAAATGGCACCGTCAGTTTTTCCAACCTCTTTACAACTCCTTTCGAGCTCCCTTAATTGAGGCTGGCCATTAGCTTCTCTCGCTTGCCTTGACTTGATTACAAAACAGCATTCACTTTTGCTGTAGGCAATTAGGATGGAAGGTTGCTGGCAGCAGTTGATGAGTATCAGTATGAAACCTTAAGAAAATTGCTTAGGTGAGGAGTTGGTATTAGCTTTGCAAAAACGTAACGAAGGCGCTGACAATCATTATATGGGTCGGAAACGGATTAGTTAACTAAGGGGGTTTTTCATTGCTACACGACCTTCATCGCTATCCTAACGAAAGCAGCACGCCTATGTAAGACGGGGGATAGGCAGTAGCACCCATTGGTACTATCAGCCATCAAATTTATGGTCAAAGGATCATCTCTTGGGTGAATACTCGTCCACGCTAACCAAGCTTTTCACCACTCCGATATTAGCTATCGATAGGAGATTCGTCCACCTGAAGCACTGGCCCCCTCATCGGCTGCCTTACACGTTATAATAAAAGCAGATACGAGTCCAAACTTCTCTCAATGGAAGACGAAGGGTTGTGGGCGTCCAAGAATGCGACTGATGAGTTCAGAGTTTTTTCCTTTATTTTTTTGGGTTACAAACCATACTTACCATACTTTCTGTAGGCTGTTTTTTTTGAAAAAAAAGTGATACAATCATGCTGTTAAAATGAAATGGCTTGATCGAAAACGTCAATGGAAACACCATGCAAATACGACCAAATCGTAATATTCCATTCATTGGAAATTCACACGGTCCTTTTCTCGAAGAGGTTTCTCATTCGCTCCTCGTTTCGCTCTATCATGTGTGATGATTCTTGTTTGTATCACTTCCTCCCATATTAAAGGTCACGAGGTTCCGTCAATTTTCAAATATAGAACACATCAAATATCATATTTATCATGAATCAATTCAGGGAAGACCCCAGTAAGCGATGACATCAGCGTTCCCACAGTAACAGGCAAAGTAAACGGCAAAAAGAAGAAGTCAGTTTGACGGCAAACAATCCCAAAAATAGACTGGGGGAAGTATTTCTTATAAATGGTGAGAAATGGGATGGTAAAAAGAGGAAGGAAGAGATTTAAGAGGGAAAAGACTGACGCTTGCTGGGAGTTTGTCCCAAACTGTAAGCACACGATCAATAGGGCCTAGATCGCTCCCATTTCTTGTCGAATGACCCACCTCTCGATCTTTACTATTTTTCCCTCTTCATATCACCTAAACGACATTGATGTTCTTGGAATGTGTGCGAAAATGATGCTTCTCGTTGCTACTTAACACACCACCACTTCTCCTCCACGACTGTACCTTCTCTATTGCGTGCTGAACTGATTAAAGTGTTTCTATGGTTAAGGATGACGGTCGACTTGGAGTTGAACCAGAAGAAGGTTGCGATCAGGCCATTTCTTCGAGCCAAAGATACCCCTAAGCCAATATATGCATTGCTATATGGATTTCAGGTAAGGCCTTCATTTTTCTGTAGTAGGGGTGCGCTTCGTTGCGCGTGTCCGTCGAAACTAGGTCACGCCGCAGCCGTCGCACNGTCCACGCAGTCAGTTCAAGAAGAAGATAACACAGACAAATGCAAATCATTTGCTCCAACGACGCTTGGTGGTACTGTAATGTCATATCGAGTCAGTGTGATGCGCCGCGCGCGAAGTGGGCGGGGTGACCTACTTTCGACGGACACGCGCAACGGACGTTCTCCACAGTGTAGAGGTGAAGATCAATAAACTGATGCGGCCAGAATAAATGCGAACTTTTGGAAAAGGAAACTTCCTAACCTCCCCAGGAGTATAACCATGATGGGGAGCAAACCTATTATAGAGCCTTTCAAACCAAAAATTAACTGAATACTTCATATTAACTCATTATGGAGAAGTTTGAAGCTCGTAATAGTCTGTATAAGCTTTCATGGAACCCATTTCGATATTAAATCGTGATGTCATTTCATGGTAATTGAATAGAAAACATCAAAAATTGAAAGCAGTAGAAGTGGATTACCTATGGATGTAATTCCAATGTACATATAACTTCCCCTTCAGCGTTTGTCTCACATATTAGGTTGTAAAGAAAGTTCTTGCCACTTCCGCGCACGCGCCATATAAATTCAAATTTTGGCGGCTGCCAAATCAGACCAATCGATCGTTGCTGTGCTCCTTAGGCGAGCCATGAGCCCAGCTCTTTCTGCCAGAGCATTTTTCACGGGATTCCGTAAAGTTTTCAAAAATTTTAAGACCTTATAAGGCTGCTTTTCGAACGGTTTTACTTAACGAGTTCATACTTGGTGGAACTGCGAAGGAGGCAGTCACAAACATCAAAGTCGCATGTGGAGAAGGGACTGCATCGGTTCGGAGGGTTCGGTACTGGATTCAGACGTTGAGAAGTAGGACGAGTAACTGAAAGGCAAAGAGTGAGGTGGTCGACCATTGTTAGTTGATCACGATGATTTGCTATGAGACGTCAATCATTGAAAGGGACTAACGAGCATATGAGCGTTTCCCATATCGTAGCTGACCACTTCAAGCAACTTGAAATGGTGAAGAAACTTGACAAGTGAGTGCCACACCAACTCAAGGAGCAGCAACAGTGGAGGCGCCTAGAAATTTCAAGCTCCTTACTGAGAAGGAACGATATTGAGCCATTGTTTCGTCGTATTGTAACGTGTGATAAAACAGAAAACGTTTTGCTCAGTGGATAGGTGTAGATGAGCCTCCAAAAACTTTACCCAAGCCAAATATCCGCGTCAAGAAGACCATGATAACAGTTTAGTGATCTAGCTATGGA